AGGCTGGCCTCGAACTCACAGAGATCCGCCTGCCTCTGCCTCCCGAGTGCTGGGATTAAAGGCGTGCGCCACCACCGCCCGGCAATTATTCATTTCTTTAAAGTTATTGATAATTTTTATCCTTTACAAGTTTACATACTATATACATTTGGGTTTCATATAAAATGATGCTTTTTAAAATTGAGTCTTTTAAAAATAATTTTAAAATTTAAAGTTATTTTATGTGTATGGGTGCTTTGCCAGCATGCATGCCTGTGCACCACATGTTTGCCTGGTGCTCACAGAGGCCAGAAGAGGATGTCAGATCCCCTGAAGCTGAAGTTACAGATGATTGTGAGTTGCCATTATGGGTGTTGCGTATCAAACTTAGGTCCTCTGGAAGAGTAGCCAGTGCTCTTAACTGCTAAACCATCTCTCCAGTCCCCAAATTCTCTTATTTTAATTTCATGTGTGTGCGTGCTTTGCCTGAATGTATGTATGTATGCATACTTAGTGTCCAGGGAGGTCTGAAGAGAGCATTGGATCCCCTAATGCATGATTGTGAGATGCCATGTGTGTGTCAGGAACCAAAGCCAGGTCCTCTGCAAGAACAGAAACAGCTCTGAACCACTGAGCCATTGTTGCAGCCCCCTCTCGTAACTTTTAACTTTTAAAAGTTATTTTCTCTCCTCCCTCATTGTCAGCCTTCTAGTGCAGTTATAGGTCTCAAGTGTTTCATTTCAACAAGTCATTGTCATCCGTCTATCTCTCTATCTCATCTATCTGTCTATCTCATCTATCTGTCTATCTGCTATCCATCCATGCATCCATCCATCCAATTGTCCATTTATCTATATCACATTGGCATGAGATAATTTATCTGAATGAAATTTGAAAGTATTTTTTATGCCTTTTAGAAAATGTTTATAGACATTCTCAGAAGCAATAAAAATGTAAACAACAACCAATACTATATTGGCATTTTAAAACGCTTACCACTGATGGGGAGCTGCTCCAGCAGGTCTCTGTGTTCATTGTCTGTGAGAGTTATTCCCATTTCCTTCAGAACATTTGCCACATCGCAGACATCAATGTCTCCTCCTTCAACATCATAGAATCAGGCATATGTTAGTGCAGAGAAAACTCTCCTCCCTTCAAACTCATGTGGAGGTCTCTCCAGTTACAATAGCCATATGAGTGCACACAAATACTCCAAGGGCTCACAATTCTCATTAGTTGGGACAGAAATATAATTTTTCACTCAGTGTAATTATAGACATAAAGATGCAGTTTGCAAGAGGTAAATTAGTATATTGTAGGTAAAAAAATCTATTAATTTTATCAGAATTCTATTTCTCTTCTAGTTTCCCAGTAAGAGATTTTTTATCTTTATGAAAATCTGCTTATAATATTCTGTGCTAATTTAGATTTTGAAGGCAGTGACTATCATGATAAATATACCAGATGCAATGCAAAAGAATTTTTCTATCAGATATTGTACTGAAGTAGTGCTTAAATGCAAATGTTCTAAACTACAATTGCAGGTACTTCCCCAACATGGAAGGAAAGGACAGTAGAAAAGCCAATACAAAATCATAGTACCATATAAATATAGAGTTTGGTAAAATGGACTTCAGATGTATAGACACTAACCTGTAATAGATTCTACTGTGTCTAGCACTTTTTCAAGATGAATCTTTCCATCAGCTGCAAGAAAAACCATAATTAGCACAAGAGATTAAAAATTAAGAATTGAAGTCTATCACAACTTAATCTGAATCAATTAAAATTCATTCAGTGTACAATAAGGACAAGAATCTATTCTATGTTTGGTGGAGGATTGGCAAAGAAGACATTTTCTAAGTTTAATGTTCATAGAAATGATAGAATAATAGACTAATGATGTTGGATGGGACTCTGGAAACCCATATTTCTAGTGCAGACCCCAAGTTCTTTCCAGGATTTATGCTGAGTCAGTCAAATATTCACAATCTTCTGTGTGTGTGTGTGTGTGTGTTGGGAGGGGAAAGACACAGAAAGTTTTTCTATGTGTAGCCCAGGCTAGCCTCAACTTGCAATCTTTCTGCCTGGCCTCTGAGTGCAACTACATATATCCACTCACCCTTAGCTACATTTTATCTTTTATTGCTATTTTAACTGATAACTTGGGACGACTGCCGATACACGTTACTAACGTTTTGTTACTAATGTATTTAAAGTCTGGATAACTGTTTCTACCATCTGTGGGTAGAGTCATGGACACATGGCACTGGTTCACTGCTAAGAAAGACTATAATCTCTGGTGGGAGGGGCTACGAGGTCCAGGCAGTAAGAAGGAGGTAGGAGGCTCAACAATGTGTGGAGCAGTTCACCCAGAGTGTGTCCTGGGAAGAACCTATCCAAGGCAACTCTAAGCCCCAGCTTTATTCTATTTTCCTACTAGATCTCATTAGGAACCATGAATTCAATGATAAATTTATGAAGAACTTCAGAATATCAAAATGGCAGCCCATTAAATCTGAAACACAACATTCTTCTGAACTTGAGTTTCTATTCACTTTTACTGACCATTCGCCATAAAGCTTGTTCTAAACTCTCATCATAAAAAACAAAAACAAAAAACTAAAAAGACTCAATACAAACAAGTTCTTTATTCAAAAGACTCCAAAGGAATGTTGAATGCATGAACTGTAGATCCTGTTCCTTAGGCCTTCATCAAATTTCTAGACAAACCTTTGAAATATATGATTATGAGTCACAATACTATAGAAAACAGCAGGCAGAGATAAGATGCCCAGTAACTAGAGCTTAAGAAACACCAGGTTGGAATAGGGTGGTGACAGAGAAGTTGAGGTCTTCAAGAGAAGGGAGGGGTCCTGAAACTTCCACTCTTTAAGTTAGCTGCCCTACTGCAGAATTTAAGATGTGCCTAGGAGGCAGCTTGTGACAGACTTCTTCAGGAATCAGCAATTCTTAGCTGGTGAGGCTGGGGAGATGAGCCAGTCAATAAGGCTGCACAAGCATGAGGCCCTGTGTTCAGATCCCCAACACCCATGGAAGAAGACACATATGCTGCATGAGCCCGTAGTCCTAGAACTGACGAGAAAGAGGCAAGAAGATCCCTGGAGCCTGTCTAGCCAGCCTAGCCCTAATCAGTAAGCTCTAGGCCAGCGAGAACCTGCATCTTATAAGGTGGCAAGGTGATTAAGGAAGACATCTGCCATCAACCGTTGGCCTGCACACACACACACACACACACACACACACACACACACACACACACACACACCACTTGTTAAATTGGAATAAAACAGCTGCACAGTGGTTTTGGGCTTGTTACATGGGAACATAGTTTTCTTTCTCAAGGAAGGTAATTGAGAACGTGGTCCTAATTAACTTGTACTAATTAGATTTAGTTATAGTCATGTAATTTTTCTATGGATGTGCTGGTTGCCCTGAAATCACAGGATGAGCACATGGTTTAGGCAATTATAAATTAATCTCTATTCTTTGCACTCAGAAACAGCAATTTAATTTGCTTTCACTCTAGTTAGCCAGTTCACTTTCATTCATTTGTCAAGTATTTTTGGCTTATTCTGTCTCCCTATCTTCATTTCATCCTGTACCAGAGAGAATAACTTTAGTGTATTTAAACATGATACATTTTTTTTGTGGGCCTGTGGGGTTTTTATTTATTTATTTATTTAAAATTTTATTTTATAATTTAATTTAATTTTACATATCAGCCACGGATTCCCTTGTCCTCTCCCCTCCTGCCCCCCCCACCTTCCTTCCAGCCCACCCCCCATTCCCATCTCCTCTAGGGCAGAGACTCCCCTGGGGATTGAGTTCAAGTGAGATAGTTGATTAGCTTGAACTTGTTTGGGAGGTAACATGATAAATTTTTTAATTTCAATTGTTTTAAAATAAAAAAAATAGTTTACTCTTTTGTTAAAATAAAACAAATAGGCAGCCATTAGTCCATGGTTGTTTCTGAACTCAGAATCCTTATACAAGTAAGCTGAAATTTAAAGGCATTCCATTTAACTGATAATTTGGGAAGAAAAAAAGTCTAAAAAAAAATAAAACTTAACCCGGTTATAAACAACAACCAGCCATTAATCATGGGGACCACACCAAAACCAGGTGATCGGTTTCTACAGTTAGACTGTAAATGCCTACATGGCTATCCATGACTGTTTTCTCTGTACTGGAGAGGCTGAGGCAGGAAGGTGGCAAGTTCAAGGTTTTGCTGGACTACGAAGTACAACTTCATCTCACAGAAAAGAAAACCATCTGCTGCTCACACTGCTGAAATAGCTTTCTGAATTCTCTAAATATCTGGTTCTGAGAGTGGCCCAGACTTTAACATTCAAAGATGAGTATTGTTGAATTTGTTCTTTAAATGTCCTACTACATATTGTTCTTAAACTGGAACTGGTTTCTCCCCTCCCTTTGAAAAACAATTTTTTGTATGTAAATATCACTAAATATATATTCATTCTCACAAGTCCACAATGTCAGTTCTTTTCTAACATCCACTGTGGTACAACACTCACCACTAAGTCACATCCACTGTGGTACACAACACT